AAGAGCTAACTAACAAGGATTTTAACCCGGTTGCACTTGATATATCTGAACTGGATTAGTCTAGGCAGGTTTGACTGGATTGGGCTTTTTAGAGTGGGTCTTTTGGTATTGGATGGATCTTTTCTTTTGGGGATTAGATGGACTAGGCTTTTGCTGGGTGGGTTTTTTTTCTGGGATTGGAGGGATTGGGCCTTTGCTGAGTTGGGTACGGCTCCTTCTTTGGCTCAGACAAACCACACATTAAAACAAATGCCACATCAGATCAGGATACCAGGTATACTGGTCAAAACAAAGTAAGATACAATTTCTGGTTCTGGTTCTGGTTCTGATATTTTTCCACCATATAAAACACAAACCCCTGGATTTTGACCCAAATTTTGATTCTGATATGACCCTCAAGGTTGAAAAGAACCGCCTCAAGATTAAGACTCTCCAAGGATTGCATTACACATTGCCAAAGATTTCACATTTTGCACAAAAGCAGTCAAAACACCTCTATGAGAGGTTAAGTTTTCCCTATCTGAGCTTTGGTCCCATATACTAGGTTGGTTCAGTATCCAGAACTGAGGCGTAGACATGCCACCTTAATCTACGGGGCTTCCATACAGATTTCAAGTCGAGGGTACACCTCTGGGTATTTAAACTAGACTTTAGTCTCGGAATTCCCGAACCTTTGCGTTCTAGGCATAAGCCGTTCGAACTCTAGTTTCCACCGTCCCAGTTGGTCTTCTAGGAACTCACCGCAAACATCGGCAGGTGGCTTTACCAGACCACCGAAAGTCATTCGGGCACGACAAACACCAAAGGAATTGCACCTTCAGAGGATTTAAGGTCTCCTAGACCGGGATGCAAAATGCATGCAAACTGCACACGTCAATGTGCTGAAGGTTTCGCACCTTCCAAGAATTTAAGGTCTCCTAGACCGTGCGTGTTTAAGGTCTCGCCAGACCGGGCGCGATACGCATGACTATGCAAGAATGAGGCACGCATGCTAATGCTAATGACGACACACATACCAGCGGAAATGTGACACGCATGTCGATGCAAATGAAGCATGGTGCAAGATGATACAAATGAGATGCGCGTGCCTCATAAGATGCAAAATCATACAAGTGGGACACGTATGCCACACGGAATGCAAAATGATACAAGTGTGACACGTATGCCACACGGAATGCAAAATGAAACAAATGAGACACGCGTGCCTTATAAGATGCAAAATGATACGAGTGTGACACGCATGCCACACGGAATGCAAAATTTTGAAAATTGGACTTATACGCTACGCGAAGCCGGTTTATATTCAAAACAATGCAATGTACTAACAAGTACAAGTAAGGTGCGCAAGATAGCGCGATAGGGTACATGCAAGATGCAAGTAAGGTGCACAAAACAGTGCGATGCGGTGCGCAAAATAGCGCGAGTGATTTTGAAATTCACAAAACAGTGCGATTGATTTGCGATGCACAAAACAGTGCGATGCGCAAGAAAGCGCGAGTGATTTTGAAATGCACAAAACAGTGTGGTGCGCTAAACAGCGCGATTGACTTGCAATGCACAAAACAGTGCGATGCGCTAAACAACGCGAGTGATTTTATGCACAAAACAGTGCGACAAGGAA